AAGATTAAAGAATCTGCGTGCAGTTCCTCTGAGAAAAAGGAGAGCAGGGACCTAACCTCTGGACCTGAAGCGCTCCACACTGTGTGTGATAGTTATGGAAAAAGAGTAACACAAGAGGTGTGCCTGGGCTTCACAGAGAGCCTCATGAAGTAAGTAGAAACTTTGGCTGGAATGGACAGCATATTAAGTCTTCTATCTGCAGCTGCTTAAGACTCTAGAAAGCCAAAATGCCCATGAGTGTGGAGTATCTCTGCTAATCCTTTATGCCTCACAGGTTTCTGTCTCTCCTGCTCCAGGGAAAACCCCTCTCTAGCAACCTGAATAACCGGGCTTGTTTCAGTACAGAAGGATAATCTGGCCCACAGTGCACTGAATTACACCGTTTCCTAATAGCTGTATTACTCTCTGCCAGCTGAACAGTGTCTGGATGCCAGATTCTGCAGAGATCTGTATCATATCTCTGTAAACACGCTTTCTGAATATGGCAAACTTCCATATATTCTGGTATTTTCTGCTTCAAGTAATATGAAAAAAAAAGAGACTATTTTTTTTTCCATCTGACTGCATTTTAGATAAATACTAAAATCCCAGAATACTTGGAAGAATGAGTAATAGTCACCAATGAGGGGGAGGAGGACAACTGTTATAAAACAGCATCTGCCCTGTATGAAACCAGCTCAAGACTGACAAACCCAGAATCTGCAACTGGCAGTTTGTTTTGCTTTTCTTCAAGAAAAATATCTACTTTTAAAAATCAAAAAGTCTGAATAATTTTACCTTGAAAACCTTGGAGGTGCCTCTCCTTTCCAAGTCAGTATTAGTTACAACTTGAAGTGTGTCCTTGTCTGTGTGAAAGAAGAAGCTTAGTGATTCTTAACTACCTTTTTCTCTAGAAGTCTGCATGTTAGATTTGCTCATTCACCACAGGGTCAAAACTTGACATTCACAAGTTGGCTCTCAAATACAGTAAGCCTGGGAGCTAGACCCAATACACCTGGGCCCTCCCAGTTTACCTGGAGCTAAACAGAACAGACAAATGCAAGTCAAACCAACAGCAAAAAGCTACTTTTACTACCAGCAGTGAATATTACCATTTGAATTCAGCTATTTCTAAGTCCGTAGATCCTACTGTGGAGTTCACTGGTGCCTTCCAGGATGGATCAGCAGTGCCGTGGAAAGAGGCTGTAAAGCGATCATGTGTCATGTTACCCAGCAGGTATACTCTATGGACAGTCATAGCAGCCACAGTAAATCTGTGCATCTTATTAATGCTTGCAGCCTGGTTCATCCTACTTCTGCTTTGTAAGGCTTGGGCAAGAGGAAACTTCTGACTCTCTGGCACAGGGACTCTCTTGAAGAGCAATTTGGGTATGAGGAAAGGAACGTTTGCTTACTTTCTTTACTGTGGTTCACAGGGGTAATTCCTTGCTGAATACCAAACTGGTGGATATTCATTCACATTTTCACTAACTTCTGGCCACGCATCTTTTTGCCAACACGGAAAGCATGCCCTCTCTACCATCATCTGAATAACTACAGCCAGTTAAGCAGTTTGTAAGGAGAAAAAGAGTAAAGGCTGCTGTGGAAGCAGATCTGTTTTACTCCACAGCTTTAGAGCTCTGATCACTGTACAAATGTATGGCAGAATCAACTGCTCAAGTATTTCTAACAATGAATGAATTTCACGACATACGAGATGCTTTCACATATGAGACGGACTTTACTTCAGAAGTAAACACTTAACTCAGAGGTATTCAGAAGAGCTCTAAAGGGCATTTAACAGCTAATTCTAGCTGGGAAGCCAGAAAAGCCACAGAAGATGACCCAGTGACTATGGCCATGTGAAGAGGGGACTGGGGAGATGAGGGAGATAGGCAAGCATTTAGAAATACCAGCAAGAAAGACACAGGAAATACAGTACCAGCTTACATAATACCAGCCTGTAAATGCAACAGGACAACAGCAACATTTGCCAAAGCATTGTCAATGGTATAGAAGCTACCAGAGCTGTGACTGAGAATGAAATAAAAGGTACTGGCATAAGGACAGAAATGACATGATGAGAAGGGCTGGTGGAAAGTAGAAAGCTACCAAGGACAGATTTATTTTGGTGCACAAGGAAAGATGTTGCTGAATTTCAAGACAGATAACTCCTGCCCAAGACTGAAGACATATGTGCATAGTCATCTAAAGACCTAGATTAATCCAGTAACTTTGCAATGTATACAGTTCTCCCGCTGCTCATACCTTCTCAGCCACAAGGATACATCCCTCTGTTGTAAATGTAGAAGATCTTCTCAAGTCTTATTTGTCTTAGTTGTTCGGCTCAAACCACAAGACATAACTTCTACTTCATAATGAGCTTTTCTTTGTCTAGTCCATATACATGGTATGGAAGCTTCTTCACTCACATGAGAACAAGATTACTTAAACATGAAACATCATTGCACGTCTTCAAGTTCAATAGAGATGCAGTAATTATTTTCACCTCATAATTAAAACAAAACCTGGAAATCAAAAGACAATCCCTTTCATTGCAGCACTAGAAACATTATTGTGAACTGTCTTTACAAAACCACAGTAAAGAGCAAGCTAAAAGGACACACATAATGGTAGAGTTTTCATTCAGACCATGTAATTTAAGTCTGAATTATATTAGATCAAAGGCAAACTGAATTAAAAAAATACCTGTTGGATTATGCAGAATGGAGTTCCTCTGCTTAATAGCTCTGGGAAGATTACAGTGTCATAAGGCTCTATCAATCAGAACAGAAAAACCAAAGAGCAAGGATAAATCGAAGGTTAAGTGCATGGTGCTGAGGAACACCCTAACCACCTTCCTTTTACTATTATAAACTGGATGGATTTGTGTTGATGGATCTATTAAGAGGGAAAACCAGCAATCTATATTCAGACAGAGGCTTTCTGCCTATACATTTCCTCTGATGTGTAGAACCGTGTTATATTTTGGCATCTCAGTTAACAGACTGTCCCTATTTCTGTCGATTTTCTAACAAAAAGAAAAGGGCTCAAAGGGCTGCTTATTAATTTATTTATAAACTTTTCTTTAGCCCAGGAAAAGACAGCACTCCAATATATTTTCATTCTGTTTAACAGAAGATCAGAACAAAAGAAAACAAAGCCCTAAATCCACAGAAAGATCAAACTCCTTCCTAATGTAACTCCAGTGAAATAATTTCATGTAGCCCAGAGATGTGCTCAGTCTGTGTTTTTTGCTGTGATGAACACAGGAAGTGTCCTAAATACTTCAGGAATCTCAAACAACGTAACACCTACACAGCAGGATTCAAGATGGAGATTGTGGACTGAAGAGAATTTCATTTCTGCTTTGTTTCTTTTTTTGTTGCAGGGCCTGGAGACTGTATATCCTCACAGAACCACCCAGTTCCTTTCCAAATCAAGAGGTCATCTGAGCTGGGTTTCAGTGGGAGCTGGAACAGGCCATACATGCATAGGACACCTACTCTTACCTAACAGTGTGTTATTATATCATGCGATCCCTATAAACGTGTACCATCAACATATTCCAGTTGCCTACATACTCCTTTTTGCTGCTGCAGGCTATTTGGTGCCTTTAGTTCAACAACCACACTCTTTAAAAGGACAGTGTTAATTTTGTCCTAAAACTTCCATAAAACCTGAAACCTAAGGAATTGCTATAAGATATTGTGATAAACACCCCTGGGCAATGCCTGAATTCCCATACAGCAGCAATCTGAAGCTACACTAAACAATATAATCAGAAGTAAAACTGCTTCTGTTAGCTTTCATTAACTTTGTTGTTTGATGCTGACCAAAACATCATTACTTGAGTTTTAATTGTGTCAACAGCACCTCCGTAAGTTGTCAGCAGGCTGTATGGCTACAGACAGCAGCAAAGGCAATAGAAGCCCTCTGCTGTAGTAGCACCTAGGCCAGCTCTGAAAGAGACATTCAGGGTGCTTGGGTCTCTTTTGTGTCTATGGTTTGGGAAACCTCTGCTTCACAGTGTTCTTAACAAACTTGATGTCTCTCATCCCCCTATAAGATTTAATTTAAAACTGAATGTACAGCTTTACTCCTGGATTATGCTACCACAAATTCTGATCCATTAATACCCTCCCTACCTTTTGGGATGTCACTCCAGCTTGTTTTTCCTAGTGCTTCTGCTCTTTTCTAATGCAGTATGAATGGTATACATGCTGAAAAGGGTTTGTTTCCCATAATCATTCCAGGTGAAAAAAGCACCAAGTTCTGAATGGAACTGAAAAGCTCAAATGAAATTGATCAGTTCTAGGCACATGAGGCTGAGGAGAGAAAACAGGGTGGTTCTTCCCGCCCCCCTCCCTTTCTTCCAAGTATGGATTAAATCACACTTTGTAAATAAAACCTGTGCGAATTGTGTGCCAGGTCACATCCCGTCTACATCCTCACAAACACTAACGATTCTGGAAAGATTTAGCACACACATTAAAGGGTTCGTGGAAACAGTCCAGGGTGCTTCTAACGGCTTGGATCCAATTATGTCATTCAAGTAGTTTCTTTTTAAATAAGACTCGCAGGAACACGCTAATTTTAGGAAGCGAGGGGGCGGGAAGGGGTGTTCCTCTCCCACTGGGGAGCCCTTCCCGAGGGGGCGCGCAAAGCAGGGCAAGGAGAGCGCTCCCCGCCCGCCGATCCCGTCAGGCCGTTGCGGGTCCGCCGACTCCGCAACAAGCCCTCTCCGGCGGCGGCCGCTCGCACTTCGCCCCGACGGGGAGGGTAAACCGCTCCCTCGGGCAGGAGCGGCTGAGGGAGCTCCCGCTGCCCCGAGGCTCCCGCGGGGACAATACGGGAACAGCTCCGCACATCACCCCCTCGCCCCGCGCCGCGCCCCAGCCGCTCCAGGCCCCCTGCGAGCTCCGCCTCACCTCAGGGACCGCGCCCCACCTGCCAGCCAGGCGCTGCCCGTGACGTCATGGACACACCCCCTGCCCGGCGGGCGGGCGGGAATAACGCCTCCTTAGCATGCAGGGGGCGGGGGGAAAGGGTGAGCAGGCGCTTCCCATTGGCCTGCGCGGCTGCCAATCAAGCGCAGCGGTCCCGCCCCCAGCCCCGCTCGTGGACGTTCCCCAGAAGGCGAAGCAGAGAGCGGTGCTGCTTTGCGCGCCCCGGGCAGGGCCGGCGCAGGTGGAGCGGGCGGCTCTTTATGGTTGCAGTTGTCGCTGCCGTCAGACTCTTTCCTCCCGGCCGCAGGGCGCAGCTGCCCGGGGGCTATGGCGGAGGCGCCCGGCGGGCGGTAGATCGGCAGGTGAGGAGCTCAGGTGGGAAGCGGCGTGGCAGGGCGTATCCCCCGGGTGGGCTGGCGGCGGTTGTGCCTCCCCTCGCTGAGGTGCTAGTTCTGCACGGGAGTAAAGTGTCCTTTTACCTCACGGAAGGCACCGTTCTCGCTCGGTTCGCGCCGAGGGCGACTGCGGGCCGGGCCGTGGGCGGGCTGGCGGCGGTTGCCGTTGCAGCGCCTTACCCTCCCGCCCCCAGCAGAGCCCCTCCAGCGGCCGTCTGGAGTCCCTGCCGCCCGGTTACAGCCCCGAGCGGCTGTTCAGGAGCTGCCGCCAACTTAAACACCTTTTCCTGCTTCGGGAGGGTGCTGCTGAGGGCTGCGCGCTCTTTGTGTGACTCCCGCTGTGCGCCGTGTGGCACCGGGACGGAGCGGATTCCAGATTAGCTGTGGTACCCTTGGCACCAAGAAGTGGCTTTCCTGGAGGGAAGGGGCGAGGGCAGGGCTCCCCCCCTTTCTGTGTGCTCTGGGGAACGGAGCTGTCTGTAAGCGTAACTTGGGAAATGTTGGGCATGTTTGCAGAGCCGTCACTCTCGTCTCGGTCTGTGGCTCTCTGTGTGCGTGCAAAGTAAAAACGCCACCGTCTTAGTTAGTTATTTGCTTTCCTTGCGCACATCTTTAAGAAAATAGGTTAATTAAGGCTAGCCGCTTCAGTTTCAAGGTTGATTTAGTTTTCATTTGAGGACAAATTAGGCATTACGAGCATTTAAATACTCCATTACTCGAGAGCTGCTTGGTGCGGTTCACTGGCACTTGCTGATTTATTTTTATGAGGGAGGTTGTCTGGAATGGCTGGAGAAAAGGGCGTTTAGCAAATTTACTTTGCCTTGTAAGGTGATTTGTGTGCCTTACGTTTTTGTCCTGGGCCTCTAATGCCAGTAGTAGTGTTTTTCCTTCTGCACTTTATTGAGAAGGTATACAGGGAGCACTTGGTTGTTGCTTCATCTCTTGACTTTCATCGATTAATGGTAGAGTTCAGAATGTTTCACTCTAGTTAATTTCAGCAGTGCTTGTAAGTCTGGTTTCAGTATTCAAAGCAGGTATTTTCATGTACATTTTCTGTAAAGCCATAGATAACAACAATTTTAATTTCTGTGAGCTTTGTTTTTTATTATTGAAAATGTAAAAGGAAAATAGATCTGAAATAATACTCCCTAGGGTGTAGTTCCAATAGATTAAGCTAAATATTTTCTACTTTGGCTCCTAGTCTATTTCCAAAAGAATAGCATTCACAGTTCATTATTCTGTTTTCTTTACCCTGATATCCCCCTTCCTACACACAGTCTTAGCCCGTTTGTTTCCTCTCTTAACCATTTTCTGTAATATCTAGGTTGTTTTTGGGATTGGAGATGCTCTCTGTGTATGAGTGTGCACTGAACAGTTGTGGTTAGACTGAAATTACTAGCATGTTCACCAAGGGCAGGAAGTGATGGTGAGACTCAGTTATTGCAACACTGCATGCATGTCTTGCTCAGACACATTAGCAAATGTCAGCATACTGTATTTTATACAAAACCTTATTTATTTTAGTAGCTGTGTGTATGCCATTGTAAGGAATATTGGATCTAGTTCAAACCTCATCTGTTATAAACAGATGCATGTCACTCTTAACAGCCTTTCCTTCATTTGTTGCATACTGAAGGTCTTGTTACATGCTGTGTAGAAGTAGAGTGAAATAGGCCATTACTCTGGCAGTCTTGGATCTTACGGTTTCTTGTTGAAAAATTGAGTTTTCAGTTGCTATGAACAGTGCTTTTAGCTACAAAATGAGGAAAGCCTTCCCATTGAAAGGAAACTCATATGTGAATTGCTAATATGTTTTAGGCTTAAATCTTAGTTGCTGTAATGTGCCTTTTAAAAAGATGCAGTGATGAATGAGGCAGCAGAATATGTGACTGTGCAGACACGAGGTACTTTTACATGTGAGAAGCAGCATAGTATTTATATCAGCATATTTTGATCTTATTGAAGTCAATCTCAATTGATTTCAGTTAAGATTTGACTCACCAAAGGCTCAGAGTTTTGCTGGTAAAAGGCTGAGGGATAGACACTGTGGTACACCACTACTAAGGTAGCTGAAGAAACTTCTAGGAGAATCTAATTGCCTTTTCCTGTATCAAGTTTCAGATAATAGGTTGCAAATATTGTGAGTTCTGGCAAACAGCTCCCCAGACTGGGACTAATGTTTCTATTACAAAATTTACCTGGCTCTGCTCTTTGAGATTTGCGTGTCTGTCTTGTGCGTTTGTGGTTGTGTTCAAGCAGTATAATTTGGGTGACTAGTTTTGGTTTTGTGAAGCTGTCAGTTGTGGTACAATTCTTGAATATTATGCCTCAAAGCACATGTTACATTGCTCTAGTTTGTCGTTTATCCAAAGGACAAGGAGGTTTTGTGTATTTAACATTCTGTCCTGTTGTGGGTACTTGTCCTTATTCTGCTAATGTAAAACATATACCCTCAATGTTAATTACCTTAGAGCAAAGTTTGCTGCCTGCCTTCAAGGTCGAGTGATGTGGGCGTTGATGCTAATGAAATGACAATCTAGGTAAAATTGGAAGCATAATAGCTAAGAAAAGCACAGCTGTGAGTCTGATCCTGAGAGGCAGGATATCCATAACTCCTCCTCCTTTCAATCTGTTCTAGCTTGTTGCTCATGCGAAGTTCTTGAAGCTGCTTGTGACTTTCATGTAGTGCATATGTTCAGAAATAGCAGATTCTATTATATATGAAGTTATGACATGAATTAGCACAGTGTTGCAGTAGTGGTTTTGGAGCTCTGTTGATATGAAACTTATGGCACATTGTTGCAAGTTGCTTGAAATAAAAATAAATTTGAGGACGGTCTCAGCAGAGGAAGAAAACACAAAACTTGCACAGATTCTTTATGATTTTCTGTATTCGGGTATCTCAACTGAGATAATTGTTAAATGATCAGAGTTGTTTTTTTTTTAAATATGGGTTCAATAGCAATTCTGGTACCTGCCTTGTTAGTAAAAGCATCAAGTACTCTTACTGAGCACTAGCTGAGACAGAGAAATGTATTCGGCCAGTTCAGCCCAGTGCAGCTCAGCTTCTGCCTGCCTGGTGTGCCAGAGCAGCGCTGACTCAGTGCAAGCTCCTCAGGGTAGAAGTCACGTGTTGGTGTGTAGCGCTGAGCATGGAAGTGCTTAATCCTATTTCCGTGTCTGGGCACTCTGTGATGCTAACCACGAATGTAAAGACATAGAGTTGAGCCGCTTTTCATGTAGCAGGTGCTGAGCAATTTTTGCAATGCCTGTTTGCTGATGATTGACAGAATTTGGCTGAAGCTGTTCTAGATATGGCTCTTGAATCTTTTTCTGTGGGAAGTACTGATAAGCGTGACTTGACAGGAATCCCTGTTATGTGCAACAGGAGGAAGTTAAAAGGGTGAGAACTGACTTTCACTGAACTCTAAGCACTAAGCCGAAGCAGTACATTAAGAATTGCTATGAGTTTCTAGCTCGAGAGATCTCCAAACTTAGCAATTGTATATCTGGCTGTAAGACAGACTGAGATAAAGATAGTGGCTGCCTAATAGCATCTGATAAGTCACAGAAGGAAGGCTGTAGTTATGATTCTTTATGCAGCTCTGTGCACTGCTTTTCAGGTTTTTTACAATTTAGACTGAACTTGAAAAATCCTTCCTTTGAACTCACTGAATAGCATATTAGACAAGCTCTGTGTTCCTTGTCTGACCGAGAGGTGGGTATGTATCTGTGTTTCTAGATTTACCACTTTAAAGTCCAGTTGCTAAATTACAAGTATTTGAACTGAAGAGTCCCTCTTTAGTCTTTAAGTTGTGGGGTTTTGATGGCTGAATCCTGTTTAGGTTGGCAAACACAGCTGCTGCCATGCCAACACTTAATTATTTCTTTCTGGATGTTTTCTTTGACACTCATGTTAATATGGGTGTGCAAACACAACTCCCTTATTTTCTGCCTTCCAATGTAATGCATAGATGTGGTATTAAGGAGATTTTTTTTCTTGATTCGTCTTTCCATAATAGCAGCTTTTAAAGTGATGGCTTCAGATTCTGCCTGCATGTTGGCTGAGATGAAACCTGAAAAATAATCACAGCAAAAGAAAAGGTACTATGTGGTGCTGCAGGTGTCATGCATTGCTTGTTCAAGGAACTCTATTCTTCGAACAGAGGTGGTAGCAATACAAAATAGTAAAGGTGAGAAACCAATCCTTGTTTGTACCAGTGTTGATAACTATTCCATGTTTACTGAAATACCTGTTGGATTTCAGTAATGACTTTTTGTTGCCATTAGGAAAACCTGAAGCTTTCTGGCCATTTGTTATATCCTCTGATTAATGTTTCTAGGGTAGAAGTTTTAAATGTTTCCCTGGATGAATGTAGTTTATATATACTCTTTCCTCATCTTAATTTCTGCCAATTTTGTTATCAACACTTGTGATGATACTGCAAAAAGTCTATTATCACAAGTGTCATCTCTTATCTGTTATGGCGATAAATTAGGTGACTTTTAGATCAGACTTAATGCCACTTTTTCTTGTGATTCTGGAGGCTTTTCCTATTCACAGTGTATGCATTGTTACTGTTCTGACTTCAGTCTGTTCCATTTTCATATAGCTGCTGGTGAAAATTAATGAAGCTCCTGGTATTAATGGTTCCAGTAAAGAAGGACTGTGTGGGTATACCCCATTTGCCTTACACGTTAACTTGTTTCTTCCTGAAGTGTAGCTGAAACCACAGAAGAGACAATTTCTAAGCAGCTTGTCAATCACCAAGAGAACTGTGTGTGCAGGAGACTTTATGCTTCTCAGTGTACAAGCCTATCTATGTCATTGTTAATTCTGCTTGTTACAGAAAGTTAAGTCCTGCCCTTCAGGTTTTCATACGAGTGGAGTAGGATACAGATTTTGGGCACCACTTCCTTCCGTCTTGCCAACCACTTGCATTAAAAAGAGTCTCATTCTCTTCAGAGATAATTGCTTTTCCAGGGTGGCTGGAAAAATAGCCTCAAAGAGGGATAGAGTTTATTTGTACTCTTAGTTCCCCAAGTGAAATGTCCAATTCTTATTTTCACAGGACTTTTGCTGTTCTGTCCGCAGTGACAACACATAGCTTTGAAACCAGCCGTGGTAAGTTTCATTGTCAGAAGGGTTCTGCTGCTTCCTCAGGCTGCGAGGCACAATAGCAGCGTCTCCCCTGAACTTGATGCATTACACATCTTGCTCATGCTGGCACCTGGGACTATGCTGGCCGCAACTGTATTGCTAGAAAAGAAACTTATTTAATAGTCTTATAAAATACTGTATTCTGAAGGAGAGTGAATGGTTCTGTTGTTTCTCTATATCCCTTGCTTGTAACAAACACAAGTGCTGAGATTCCATAGACAAAGCTTTGACAGCGTAAACTGTGAATTTAAGTGCAACTTACAATGTAGGGGAGGAGGAGGGAAGAAGTTTCACCGTGAATGTGTTTCGGTCACTATTTTGTGTATCTTAAAAAGAAGCAGTGAGTGTCTGTTACTCTTCTGTAGTACTACCTGAAAACTTTAAAATAGCAAAGTGTATCATCAGTAGCAACGGGGATCCTGAAGACCTGTTAGTGATTGCATACGGGGGAGCTGATGAAGCTGGTTCTGAATGATATGGGCTACTGAGTCTTTGCTAGCTTGTTAAGATGACTGTGGTAGGAGTTTGTGGTGGCTTTTTCAGCTTCACTCCCTGTTACCTTGCTGCTTGCCAAAGGCAGGCAGCCTAGTACTTGCTGAGAGATCTTTCTACAGTCTGGTAACTGTGTGGGATTTCCCACCTGCAGTTGGATGTATCTGTGTCTGTGCAGCTCAGTGGCACATGACCTCTTAGTTCTTGGGAGCTATGCAGCCATTTAGATAGCAGATGTTCCAAGAACTTGCTAGTCCATATTTTTTTTTAGCAGTGATCTCACCACCTCAAAAGAAGTGGGCTGCCTAGCACGCATTGACTATTTGGAGCTGGCATTATTGCTGAAAGATTACAAGTCTTTTGCTTTTTAAGTAAACAGTACTGGAATAAAAAAGCAAAAATAACAAGCAAAAGGTGTTACAAAGACTATGCCTGAAGACAAAAATTCTCCTTAATTTTTGGGGGTGGTTTTGCTAGTAAGAGTGGTTAATAAGCTCTGTCTTCTAGCCTGGTGCTGCTGTGTCTTGGAAACTTCTCAGAACTGCATCTTACTTGCCGTTACTGTTAATACGGTTAGTTAAATTGCTTAAAATGGCCATTTTAAGTTTCCTTTAAAGGTAACATTCTGATAATGGTTTTGTCATTTGTTAAGATGTGTAACAGGACAGTGCCAGAGGCAGTGGACCCTGAAACACAGGAGGTTCCCTCTGAACATAAGGAATTACTTTTCTCACTGTGAGCATGATTGAGCACTGGCACAGATTGCTTGGAGATCTTGTGGAAACTCTCTCCTTGGAGATATTCAGAAACTGTCTGGACATGGTCCTGGGCAGGTGTCCCTGTCTGAGCAGAGTGGATGGACCAGGTGACCTGCAGAGGTCCCTTCCAACTTCAGCCATTCTCTGATAATTCTGGTAATGTATTTTGAAGTTTAATGGAGTGCAGCTTTGCTCCTCAGACTCTGTTAGATCTATAAGTGATTTTGGAAAAGCCAGCCTGGTGTTTCTCTCCAGTCTTGTCTGGGTATTAACTGCATCAGTAAGCAGCCACCTTTCATACAACAGGGTGCACCATTGTTGGAATAGGCTTATTATGGAGGATTGGTTGTGTTTGACAGAATTTGACTTCTAGACATAAAAGAGAACTAGAACTAATGGGGTTATCTAATTTGCCAATACTAAGGTCAGATAACAAGCAATTTGTATATGAAGAGGTATAATCTAGGCGAAATTGAGTCCTGTAATTGAACTACAGTAACAACCATGTTTAGGAAGAAGATTTGATATTTCTTGTTTGTTTTCTGATTAAGGCCAAACAATGGAAGGAAAAGAATGTTGGTCTACAGGACTTTGTCATGTTTTGGCAGGAAAGCTTTTTAAAAGCTGTTTTAAAAAGTGAATTCACTATGGTACCCTTACTAGAATCAATAAACATTATTTATTGAGTAAAATGATGGACAGCTAAGATGTGGTGTGGACTTTCATTTCATTTGCCTACCACTGTGGTATCTGTACCACTGCTAGGATGCGCTGAGACACACTGGGATTTAAATTCCTGACCTCAGTATGAGGGGCGGTTTTACTGTGTTATTATTAACCTTGCATTCAAAAAAACAGATCTGAAATGAAATGTAAACTTTGGATGTTGAGCAAAATATCGTGCCAGAGTGTTGTCTGACTGATTCATGTCTTCCTTAACTGAATGGTGCTGCTGTTTTTTTCACTAAGTGACCTAGCTAGGAAGTACCAATTCAAAGCTTTACACTACTGCCACAGCTGTTGAAATTCAGGAAGTATCAAACCCATTCATTCTTTCCTGTTTAACAAAAAATAAAAGTTGTATCTCTGAGTTTGTTTGCAGATTTGTTACTGTCCTCCAAATCTACCTTTCTTATCTGTGAGGCATTGGAACCAGAAGGGCATTATAATGAACTTATAAACCTTATAGAACTAAGGCTCACTTACTAGATATCTCTCCGTGGTTAGAAAATGTCAAATTATAGGGAAAGGAGAACTTAACTTAGGTAGGGAATTGCTATTGTGGATAAAGTTTTTGACTTTTACCTTGTGTCCAGTTTGTTTTGTTGAAGCAATCTTTTTAACATTCCTTTTCTTAGAGTAAGAATAAAAATGCACCACTGAAATCATGTTTCATTCAATATGGAATTTCATTTCAGGTTTAGAGATGTTAAAGCTTTCCACAGGATGGCTGAATCATAGGCTTATGTGCACACACATGCACATACACTTCGTTTCACAGCTTGTATTCCTATGTATAATACTATATTGTACTGTACTCTTTGAAGTTTGACAGGATCAACACTTCTACTTGAAAATCAATAGCAGAGCCGTTGCTGGGATGTTACTTTGGTAGATGAGGCTTACTGTTTATTTTCTTGTGGGGTTTTGTTTGTTTGCTTTTCAGAGAAAAAGGAGGAAAAAAAGTATTGTCAGACTTGCACAGAATGTCGTGTTTGAGGGTGACTCATTGCATTTATTTACTTTTTTTTTCTTTTATTGTAGGAATAAAAAATTACATAAGGTCAGTTTCTTCTGCCATGTTACATGCATACAAATGCTGGTGTACTGATGGTCCCTTACTGGTGACAATCTCACATTCTAAAAGATCAAATTTCAAGTAATGGGGCATTATTGGGTATTTTAAAATGTATGCGAAGTTACTGTTTTCATCTAACAGACTTCAGTAATCTGCTTTTAGTCCTAATTGATTAGCTTGATAAAATGAGCACGGAAGGTGCAACTTCCTGTTTCTAGCTGTATTGTCAGCCATCTCTTTAAATAATTGGCTTCTTTAATTTCATAGTAATTCAGTGAAAGAACAGTGGCTGCATTTCAGTATCATGAAGTGACAGTGTTCTCACTTCAGGAAACATTTTTGGGGCTTGTGTATGGAGATGACTGCTTCCTACTGATGAGCCTTAGGAAACCGTGGTATCATAGAATCATAGAATAGTTAGGGTTAGAAAGGACCTTAAGATCATCTAGTTCCCCCCCCTCCCCCCCCCCGCCATGGGCCGGGACACCTCACACTAAACCATGCCACCCAAGGCTCTGTCCATCCTGGCCTTGAACACTGCCAGGCATGGAGCATTCACAACTTCCTTGGTCAACCCATTCCAGTGCCTCACCACCCTATCAGGAAAGAACTTCTTCCTTATATCCAATCTAAACTTCCCCTGTTCAAGTTTTAACCTGTTACCCCTTGTCCTATCACTGCAGTCTCTAATGAAGAGTCCCTCTCCGGCATCCCTATAGGCCCCCTTCAGTTACTGGAAGGCTGCTATGAGGTCTCCACGCAGCCTTCTCTTCTCCAGGCTGAACAGCTCCAACTTTCTCAGCCTGTCTTCATATGGGAGGTGCTCCAGTCCCCTGGCCCTCCTCTGGACTTATTCCAACAGTTCCATGTCCTTTTTATGTTGAGGACACCAGAACTGCACACAGTACTCCAAGTGAGGTCTCACGAGAGCAGAGTAGAGGGGCAGGATCACCTCCTTCGACCTGCTGGTCACGCTCCTTTTGATGCAGCCCAGAATACGGTTGGCTTTCTGGGCTGCGAGCGCACACTGCCTGCCCATGTTCATTTTCTCATCAACCAACATCCCCAAGTCCTTCTCCACAGGGCTGCTCTGAATCTCTTCTCTGCCCACCCTGTAGCTGTGCCTGGGATTGCTCCGACCCAGGTGCAGGGCCTTGCACTTGTCATGGTTAAGCTTCATAAGGTTGGCATCAGCCCACCTTACAAGCGTGTCAAGGTCCCTCTGGATGGCATTCCTTCCCTCCAGGGTATCAACAGAACCACACAGCTTGGAGTCATCGGCAAACTTGCTGAGGGCGCACTCAATCCCACTGTCCATGTCACTGACAATGATGTTGAACAAGACCGGTCCCAACACTGATCCCTGAGGGACACCACCCATTACTGGTCTCCAGCTGGACACTGAGCCATTGACCACAACTCTTTGTGTGCGGCCATCCAGCCAGTTCTTTTACCCACCGAGTGGTCCATCCATCAAATTGATGTCTCTCCAATTTAGAGACAAGGATGTTGTGTGGGACAGTGTTGAATGCTTTACACAAGTCCAGGTAGATGACATCAACTGCTTTGCCCCTATCCATCAGTTCCATAGCTCCGTCACAGAAGGCCACCAAATTGGTCAGGCAGGATTTCCCCTTAGTGAAGCCATGCTGGCTTTCACCAAGCACCTCGTTGATTTTCATGTGCCTTAGCATCCCTTCCAGGAGAACCTGCTCCAAGATTTTGCCAGGCACAGAGGTGAGACTGACTGGTCTGTAATTCCCCGGGTCATCCATTTTCCCCTTCTTGAAAATGGGGGTTATATTTCCCTTTTTCTAGTTGTCAGGAACTTCACCTGACTGCCATGATATTTCAAATATGATGGCCAGTGGCTTAGCAACTTCATTCGCCAGCTCCTTCAGGACCCGCGGATGGATTTCATCAGGTCCCATGGACTTGTGCATATTCAGGTTCTTAAGATGGTCTCAAACCAGATCCTCTCCTACAGTGGGCCTAAGGTCTTCATTGTCACAGTCCCTGCATCTACCTTCCAAGACTTGGGTGATGCGGTCAGAGCCTTTGCCAGTGAAGACTGAGGCAAAAAAGTCATTCAGAACCTCAGCCTTCTCCAAATCCTGTGTAGCCAGTTCTCCTGAGAGCTTCTGGAGAGGGCCGATGTTGTCCCTAGTCTGTCTTTTATTTGCAATGTAACTATAGAATCCCTTCCTGTTATCTTTCACATCCCTAGCCAAGTTTAATTCTAACTGGGCCTTGGCTTTCCTAACCTGGTCCCTAGCGTCCCGGACAACATCCCTGTATTCTTCCCAGGCCACCTGTCCTTCCTTCCACCTTCTATAAGCCTCTTTTTTCCTTCAAAGTTTCCTCAGCAGCTCCTTATCCATTCAAGGAGCTATCCCGGCCCTCCTGCTGCGCTTCCTTCTAGTTGGGATGCAACACTCCTGAGCTTGTAGCAGGTGATCCTCGAACATCAACCAAGAGTCTTGGCCCCCCTGCTCTCTAGGGCTGTGTCCCATGGAACCTTACTAAGCAGGTTCCTGAAGAGCCCAAACTCTGCTCTCCTGAAGTCCAGGGCCGTGAGCTTGCTGCACGCTCTTCTCACTGTCCTGAGGATCTCAAATTCGAGCATCTCATGATAGCTGCATCCAAGGCTGCCCTGGAATGTCACATTTCCAACCAGCCCTTCTCTGTTGGTGAGCACGAGGTCAAGCATGGCACCTCTCCTTGTCGGCTCCTCTATTACTTGCAGAAGGAAGGTGTCTTCCACACAGTCGAGGAACCTCCTGGATTGCTTGTGCTGTG